CCAAAACTCGAGATCTGATGCAGAGCCTGGAACAGAGCATTAGCGTAACACGAGTTTGACGTGTTAGTCAGAGCGCGCTGGTGCACTCCTTCTGGTCGCATTACCGCATGTCCAGGGGACTGCGAAATGGACTCCTGCTTGTCTGTCGGGGGTTGACGAGCTGTGCTCGACTGATTTGAGGCTGTGCCATTCGACCGTGACCTAAAGAAGTGGGCTAGTGACTTCTCTTGGGGCTTGGAGGGGGGAGCCTTAACAGCTTCCTCAACCTCCGGTTGCCCTCGCAGCCACTGCGTGCTAACCTGATAAAGTACGGGGCATTGCTCCGGGTGCAGTCTGCGATCGTAAACCTTGTAACCGCAGAAGGAGCACGGGTGTCCCTTGGCAAGGTGGGGCGAGAAGCCCTGGCATATAGAGACTGCACGCTTGTGTAGCCTTGACCAGTCCTTAGGATGCGCCTGACGGAAGTGTGACTTGACTTTGGTGTGATCGAAAGTCCAGAAGTCGCACGTGAGGCACCGATGGATCAGGACCCGGGCCTCCGCTGTCTTTGAGAGCACCGCTATTCGATGTTGTGGGAGCTGAGCGATGTCCTGTCGCAGCTGAGAAAGGATCCTTACCTCAGGATGACTTGAGAGTTTGTCCGTCGCGTTCAGAGTTCGAAGCTTCTGGGGTTCCGGGCATGCTCCCGACAACAAGTGGTCACGAAGACCTTTCCATTGATGAAATTTGTGCATGCAAGCGGCGCATTGCGGCATCCCATCCACCGCGTGGAGTTGTCGATCGAAGCTTGATGGTACAAATCGGTCAATGCTGGCTGGATGCACTCGCGACTTGTGTAAATGTAATCCATTTGCTGTCTCGAAGGAGGCATCGCAGAGTGTGCACGCATGTAGGGCTACAGGGTGTTCAGCTGCTTCAGGGAGTTGTGATAGGAAGTACAGCTTGTCCCGGATGACTTGCAAAACCGAGTGCTCGGTTGTGATGTCTGGGCTTCTGGCTGCGCGTCGCTCAAGTTTGCGGAGTCTCTTCCTTAGCTTGATCTGCATCGCTTGAACCGGGTCCTGAATGCTATAAAGCTGGAAGAGATCCTTAGTGGTGATGCGGCTGGTATGTGCTGGCAAGTTCAGCACTGATCGCACCTTGTAAGCATGCCAACTACGTAGCTGCTTTGCCGACTCCTCACTTAGTCCGACGTCTGAGAGGCCTGTCGTCAGTGTGCTCAGGACTGTGCTTTGCCAAACCTTGAGTCTCGACATGGTGCTCGCATACCTACGATTGTAGACAAATTGGCGGACTTGATGCAGCTTTTGCTTTGCCTCCCCTATACGGTAATGCAAGGTCTGCAGCTCGAAGTTGTTGTAGGAGATCATAACCCCCAAGTACTTGCTACAGGAAACCCACTGGAAGGCGGGGAACGATTTATTGGGCCCGATGCGCCATCCTCGAACCTGCTCGCCCTTGGAGTTTGTGATCCAGCAGCCGTGTTTGTTCATCACGTTTTGGGATTCTCTACCCGCTAACTTCACCAAGATGACGCACTTGCTAATGTTGACTCGTAGGCGGTGTTTGCGGACCTCCTCAAGTAACGCTGCGATGAGCGCATGAATGGCCCTGAGGTCCTTGTCAGAGCGGATAGTCCGATGGAGCGTGAGATCATCGGCGTATCCTGTCAGAAATTTCAAGACCTGCTCAGCACCGAATAGGTCAACCAGAGAGCGGAAAAGGTCACCTGTAAGGAACGAGAAGAGAGTGGGGGCGAGCTTACATCCTTGTTTTATGCCTGCTGTGGTTTCAACAGAGGTGGAATCTCCCTGCGCGTGAAGGACATAACGAGACCCGTCATGTAGAGCCTGAACGAGGTGGACTGTGTCCTGATCGGCCCCTTCTCTCTGAAGAAGGTCGATGATCTCTTGGCGAGAGACTGTGTCAAACGCTTGGCTTAGGTCAAGAGCAAAGGTGAGGCCGCCAACTAAGGCTGGGGCCTGTGTGCCTTGTTGCAAGGCATGTCTCGTGGGGTGGGCCTGTTCTAACAGAGATCGAGCCTCACGCAAGTGATGCACCACGCGTTCTAGCGCGTCTGACAGCCCCCGACCTGGTAGATAAGCGAACTGTGGCATGTGCTTGAGGAACGAGAGGGTCAGTGGTTGAAGCGCTTCTCTGGCCGCTCCCGCCAGTCCCTTAGCGTCAGGTCTAAGGATACCCAAGGGTCTCAAGTTTGCTGGTTTGTCAGAGGGCTTGCCCGGCTTGGGAATTAAGCAGAGATCAGCGTCTACGAGGTCGGATTCTAGGCTGTCCTCGGCCTGCTTGGATGCTACGTGTTTTGAGAGGATCGGTGCAACGATGTCGCTACACAGTCTCCACACAGCCGCAGGTGCCGCTCCGTCAGGAACAGCTTTATTAGGCTTGATGGAATGTATGTGAGCTGCTAGTTTGGGCGGCTCCAAAACAGGGAAAGCTCCATGCATTGTCCGTAACGGAGGGTGGGCCGCAAATACCTGATTGGCATAGTCCCTGAGGGCTGCTAGCTCCTGCGCTGGACCCAGCAAATGTCCTGTGTTGTCCTTTAGCTGAGCTCTGCGCGCAGGCTGCCAAGGCTGCAGCTTTTTGAGGGTCTGAAAGGAGATATGTTGGTCACCTTCAGCCAGACTCGCGTCCACCTCCGATATGAAACTCGCAATCCTATCTTTCTTTGCTTGTTTCACAGCCTGGCGGTGTGCCACTTGCGCCAGCTCAGCTTCGGTGTCCGGCGGACGTGGCGTGTTCTGATTAGGAGGCTGTGCCATTGCTTTAGGTGACTCGATCAGCTGTGCTGAGGGAGCTGTGTTCGCAACCCTGTCATGGGTGCGGGCCCGCCACATGCGACGGGTCTCCAACTCCAGCGGGATCGGTCTTCGTTTGGGAATTTTTGGAAAAAAGCGTTCTGCACCTTCCAAAAGCAACGCATTCCATGCCTTGGGGTCCTGGCAGGTGTCAATTCTGGAAGCTATCCAGCTGTGCAGTGCCTTTGCCGTCTCATCCTCCTCTCTGACCGAGGCCTGTAGAGCTAGTGAATCGTAACGGCGCGTGCTGGGCTTATGGGATGGGAGCAGCCAGTGATGCTGGAAGGGTACGTCAGCTTTAAGCGGGTAATGCCCTCCTTTCTTCCAGCTTCCCAACGGGCAGTCCACCCAGGGGGCTGACCTTTTTGCTTTGCCTCCCGCCGTAGATTCTTTGGTTAGAATGAAGTCAATTTGCGACTCCACTCCTCCTTGTGAGAAGGTAGCTATATGGTCACATTGCCAGGTGTTAAGGGCAACCAAACGCAACCTGAGCAGCAGGTTAAACAAGTTGGATTCGTCAGGGCGGTCCTCAGTGGGTGGCTTCACGTGCGTTCCCACCAATGGAGAGCTCGGACGCAGGGAAGTGTTAAAATCACCTGCTACAATAAGGGAGTCCCTCTTAGGCACCTGCTTGATCACCTTGGACATGACAGATAGTACCTTAGCACGGTCATCCTTATTGGACTGGATGGTCTTGGCAGAAGACCAAGCGTGTTGGTACACCGGGACAACAACCAGCCGAGTACCTGCAATGTCTGCACGAGCTTCTAAGACCCTACCCGGGCTCCACTCCTTCCAGCGTAAGCTCTTGGGGACGAACTTGGGCGAGAATAGGATCATGACTCCATCAGCGCGAGTCGTGGATGGAGCTCGCGGTTCTTGCCGAGTGTTACGCTTCGCAGCTTGTTTAGGCCGGGTGTTTGGTTTGGTAGACTCCGAGGCTGAGGAGATACAGTACCACCCAGAAACGCTGAATTCACTGGTCTCAGTCCAGTGCGTTTCCTGTAATATGAGGACGTCACAGTGATGAGAGGCTTCAGCTGCTAGCCACGTTTTGAGTTCGCCCCATTGCTGTTGGCCTAGGTGTCCCGCGTTCCACGAAAGAACTCGAATGGATCTTTCCAACCGTCCTGCCCTGCGGGAGGCTGTGCCATATGCAGGGGAGTCAGCAGTCTGTGACTGAAGCTCTCTTCGAGTGGGTGGGGGGCGTACCCCCAGACGATCAACCAGGGTAGGTGTCAGAACCTGCCCTCGATATGGTACGGGCCCGTCACTACGGACTGTCCTTCTACATGCTGTCTTGAACGAATTCTTACGAAGAGATGCAAAGTTTTGTGAGTGCACTGGCAATTGCGCCATCCGCTACTTTCGTCAAGAGACAGAAGCCTAATGACTCCCTCCACCGCGCGGAGGTGGAAACCCTACCGCCTACCCAGTGTTGCAATGTTTTAAACAGAGTCTGGGCCCAGGAATTGGGACCTGGCGGCTCAAAGCAGCTCCTGTGAGAAAAGGGAGAGGACCATGGCGTAGAAGGAGGCACAAACCTTTACTGTTCAGAAAAGGGCCCGGTTGGAACCTCTAGCACAGCAGTTGCGCCCCAAGCCTGTTCGAAACCTCTCATTCAGCGCGGCCGCTTGAGCACTTGTGGCGGCTACTACTACTACTACTACTACTACTACTACTACTACTACTGCTCCTGCTGCTACTACTGCTACTGCTACTGCTACTGCTACTGCTACTACTACTACTACTGCTACTACTACCACTACTGCTACTCCTACTGCTACTTCTACTGCTACTGCTACTGCTACTGCTACTGCTACTGCTACTACTCCTGCTGCTGCTGCTGCTGCTACTACCACTACTACCACCACCACAATATCGGTTTGCAAACTGCTTTCAGCGGAACAGGCGAATGTGCCTGGGAGAAGAAAGCAACCAACGTCGTGTTGCAAAAGTAGCTTCATGGTTCTGACCCTGCAGCTCAGGGTTGTCTGGGTTTTACCCTGGACAAGTTTGCGGGTGAATATGCAAAGCCGGTGTGCCCAGGAGCCGTCTTCTGCGAGGAACACCTGTGTGTTCTGTTCCTAGGAATTAGTCAAATCCGGTTCATAGAGCCTTCAAAGAGGAGTGGCATGAAAACTGGGCAGACGGAAATGGATCCTCACCAGTCAATGCCAGGCACAGACTGACTGACATCGTTCGAGACACGCTCAGCTATGACAACCTGGATGACATGTTCGATGGACTAAGGCTCATCGACGAGGAGCGGTGTCGGCAGCGTTGCTGAACAAGAGGTGTAACTCCATCTCGTTCGCCTGGCAAGGACAAAAGCGTTGAAATTGTGGAGTTCAACGACAGGCTACAAACCCAGTTTGCTGCCCGAGGGAGCAACAAGTGAAGTGTTAGGGCTTATGTTTTTGGGTGGGTTGGGAATAGGTATCAGACACCATTGGATGGTGGATATCGCGACCTCCAGCTCACACTTCGGGTGCAAGGCATTCCATCCACGGTCAGCAAGCTTCATGCCCAGAGAGCTACTCGTAGTGTTGACTTCTGTGCCGCAGGTGGATTGGTCTGCAGGCTGCAACTCACCACAAAGTTTATGCTCTTCATTAAGGCCGCTCTGCAGTTGCCAGCTGGGTGTGACATTTCTTGCTGGTTCCTCTTGCCAGGAGTCGAGTGGACTCAGATTGTTCGAGATCAAGAGGCAGCTCATGGCCGATCTAGCTGCCAACAACGAGCTGGAGTGCCGGAAGACGCTCCACTGGGCTGGACAGGATGCGGAGGCAGGAAGCTGGCTCGTCACAGTTCCAATAACAGTGCAGGTTTCTGCGGTATGCTTGAAATTGCTACTATTGGTTCGATGACCACCATATTGCTGCGATGGTTGCTTCCATCTGCTACCGCTGTTGTCGATGCGATGCTGATGGTGATGAATATTGCGCTGGCACATGGTTAGGAAGATTCTTGTCATTGTAAGGACGTCGAGAGACATTCCCGACGGAGCTTTCCCAAAGCCCTGTGAAGCGGCAGAAGCTCTCCAAATCATCCATGGCCTGAGCACCAACAGTGAACCCGACGAGGCTGCACCCTAGAGCCTCTATCCTTTCAGACATAACAGACGAAACCGAACCCAATTTGAGAATAATCCATGGTGAGTACCGGCTTGCTAGATTGCGGTGCGCAGCTGTTTGGCAGCATTTTGGACAGGCCAGTCTGAAGGAGGACTGGAAGCCTCTCCTGCACAAGGCAGCGGCGCAGGGCAACGCCTGCATAGTGCATCCTGACTGATGTGGCTCGACTTGTCGCGTGCTGTGTTACGCAGGAGCCCACAACCTGGTTTCTGGGAGCCGATGCATAGGATAAACCGCTGCACAGGCAATGCCATCCAAACCTCCAAAGCTCATTCTTAAAGCATCGGGGCCCTCGACGGGTCAGTGGTCTAAGCAAGAGTACCAGTGAGATGCCAAGCAACAGTGCACTCTGTTAGTCTTGAGTGTTGGCTGAAGCCTCTTTGGCACCACACCTCGGGCTGAGGCAGCTCTTCCTTCTTCACGGAGCGGATGTGAACCTCAGGGAGAGGAGTACTGAGCGCACAGCCCTGCACGAGGCCCCGTATCTGGCGAGGCTCTTTCTGAGGTGTTTGAGAACAGCTGCGGCATGGATCCTGAACCCTGGCAGGCGATCTCTCAGGGCCACGCCTGTGCGGCATGGGCCCTGATCTCGGCGGGTGCGAAGCAAGACGCCAAGGATGCGCAGGGGCACACGGCCCTCTTGCTCGGAGACTTCTCTGCATCGAGCGATTCTTCAAGTTACCGGAACTGCACCGCCAACCCAAACTCCAACTGTCAAGAGAATCTTTCGCGGAACATGCCTAGCCGTGCCCCAAAAGCTATCTCAAGACTCGATTGGCCTGCAGAACCAAAAGCTCTGGAAGTTGCAGATCGCTTATCCACACCGTCTAAACCCCGTATTGACTTGAGGCTTAGGATTTGCTTTTGTTCGTGGTGTAAGACTTTGGCATCCAGTAAACAGGTGGGATGGTGAAGGGGTTGTGCCGGCGACTGCGGTCTAGAGAAGACCTCGCCCATGATACGGACCCTCACATACCGCACTTGCATTTAACAGGAAGTGCTCGGAGGCTCAGGGCATCTCAGGGGTGGCTCGGACTTCGGGGATCCTGATCGCTGGCTTTGCTCGTGCTTAGCTCTTCAGAGCTGTTCGGCGCTTGGTCTCAGCAGGCAGCTATGTAGAGGGTTTTATGGGGACGCAAACTCCTCGTGCGATGATGCGTGCCGTGCCTTGCAAGGACTCTTGCAGCAACGTCAGGATCCCGAGAGCGAGGCTGTGGGGAGGCAGGCTTCCAAAAGCCTTCGAGCTTTTGGTTCTGTTTTTCCCTCCCCGCAAAAGCTGCTTCCTCGGCCGGCCCGACCAAATGCGCACTGCGACTGTGCAGGTGTGTCTCCATGTTGTGGCAGAAGCTGAGCGTGGAGGACTGGCTTCAATTCTTAGAGTGGGCGAAAACTCTACCACAGGGCCACCAATTAGGGAGTGGTGCTCTGAGCAAGACGGGCGGACACTTTGACGCTTAGGAGCTGCGCCGAGTCAAAGAAGAGTTGAGCATGGAGGTGCGAAGACGGCTGGTGAACAGCTCGGAGCTTGTAGTTGCGTTGGCCGCTGAGTTGCTCTGCCCAGACTCAGCCAGCGGGTTGTTGTAGATTCAGCTGGGCATGTTCATGGTCGGCAGCTGAGGGCCTACGACGGCAACGTGCAAAAGGTAGTCGAACTGCTGCGCAATTGGGCCAACCCGAACAGCGCCACCAACGATGGGAGGCATGCGCTCCACCGAGCGCTGGCTCAAGGCCATATCGAGGTGGCCGTGCAGCTCCTGACCTACAAGGCAGATATTTGGCTGGAGGAGAACCAAAAGACTGCCTTGGACATCGCCATCGAGCTTACAAACGCAAGCGAAGAACCCGCTTGTCTCGAACTCCTGGTCGACCTCCACGAGCCGTACAAGGCCTGGACTCAGAACTTGAAGACTTCTAGCTGATGTGGCCTAGCTTAATCGCCCAACAGGCCGCACAATTCGCTTCGGTGGAGGACAACAAAAGCGATGCACGTTGCCGCCTCAGTTGGAGTGGGCTTCGGACCGCAATCCAAGTTGGAGTCAAGCCCTGCATGGCTCGGTTGCGGCGGTTAGAGAGTAATTCCTGCATTCCCGCAAGTTCCTGTCGGATGGAGTGCAGAGGATGGTTGAAGGCATGTCCTCGCCTCGAGCACACATTGGTGCTGCAGGTTTTCTGGGGTTGATGATAGAGCACGGCCACACAGACTTCTTGAAGAAGCTCCTTGCCAAGGGCGTGGAGAAAGCAGCTGGCCCAGTGACCTGTCATTGGACACTGCATGTTTGTCTGCTGCGGGACACTGCTGAGGATGCCAGAGGCGAGGATGGCCTGGGCCCTGGGCATGTGCAAGGAAAGGTCTTGGCGAAGGAAGAGCGCACCACGAAGCAGTGCCCAAGGAAGCACCGCACTTATGGTTGCGGCCAGGGAGGGCAAGACGGATTCTCTCACCGAGCTCCTGGAGAGAGGTGCAGAGAAGGCTGGAGCTCCTGTGCAGCTGTGCAGGGGGGGCCTTAGCTTGGCTGAGGACAGTCAAGACAACGACGGCCACGGCCTCGGGGACAAGCTGCAGCCACAGAGCCACAGACTCCTGCTCGAAGGGACCAAGAAAGCCAGCCCTGAGGCCACACCGCACTGATGCTGGCGATGCAGAGTGGCCATCAGGAGTGCTTCAAGGAGCTCCTTGACCGGGGCGCCAAAACGGCGACCTGGCATGGTTGGATGCGGCCATTGTATTTGCTGCTCCTCCCGTTGTTTGGTGCTGATTTGATCACAACGACGCGTCTTAGGGCCTGAAGAACAACGCTGGCAGGGGCCTCGAGCCTTTGCCTGCCCTTCAAAGAAGTCTCTAGCCAACCTCTGCACTGCACCCGTGCCCTGGACACACGGTTGTGGTGCCTGTTTGCCGTAGGCAAGACCGTGTTCGAGCTGTCCGCCCACAACACGAAGTTCCAGAAATTGCTGGGCCCAAGCCTCATCGGGAGCTGCGCGATCAATTGCTGTTGCTTTTTTGTTTTGGCATGTTACACCAGCAACGAGTCTAGGCTGGAGGGGAGGTCCCTGAGGTCCCTGCTTTCACTTTTTTCGAGCTTTTGGGTGGGAAGACGTTTTCGTCCCACAAGCACAGGGGCTCGTGACACCTTTCCTTGACACTTGAGAGCCAACAGAAGGAAAGGGCTTTCCTGTTGTTCTCCTGCAAACTCACCTCATCAGCTACACCTCCTTTTTTCCTCCTCACACGTCGGGTCCAGCGGTGTGTGCACATCTGAGTCAGGGGTCTACAGGTTCATGCCTAGGCCTAGTCCATCCCTCAGGAATCTCCCCCAGTTGAGGGCCTGCAAACGGGACGGGCTCTAGCTGCACAGGATGGACAGACACATCAACTAGCTTGGCCAGGACACGGAAGGAAGCCATGGCACAAACCCTCGCTTGGGAGCTACGTCTGAGGTCCGACAGCCCTCGAGGCTTGAGCTGCTTGAGCTCTCCGGCGGAGCTTGTCGCTGACGGCCGCTGGCAGTGAGGCTGTCCAAAGCCTGAATCTGCATTTAGTCAGCCGCGCCTCGTGGACCTACCTGCATGTGCGCTCAAATGGTTTGCTTGATCTGACTGTAAAGTTAGAAACATGGGCATTTATCTGCTCGTATAGTATTCGGCGATTGTTGGAGTCACATTGAACACTGTGACAGCCCCTTCACACATATCATGCTTGCCACCGTAGACCGTAAACCCGGACGAACCGTGCAGAGGGGCGTTTGCAGATTCATTTATCCGGCACGTTTCCGGAACCATTATGGACAATGCGGATGATAGGAGCTTTCAGGGACGGGGGCCTCTCTGAACCCGAAGATCGACAACTATACGAGAGGACTACGAGCAGATCTTATGCAACGAACACCTAGAACGAGCCTTCCCATTCGTTACGGAGTCCACTCGTGTTTCCGGGTCTTCGGAGGCCGAGTCCGAGACTCTCGGGGCAAAACGTGGCAAAGCCATGCGGAACAGTTAGAGGCCGTTTCCCCGATTCCCTGAAGGGCTCAGAGTCTGGAAGGCGACGGATGAGACGAGACAAAAGACCAGGGCGGGGCGATGGGTCTTTGTAAATCCAGTTTCCGGAGTGCAAAGCCTTTACCGCACCTTGTGCAGCTGGGTGGCTTTGATCGGAGATGATCTGGATACTCTGATGTCAGGGACAGAAACGGGCAGCTTCTGTTGCACCATGCGTGAGCAGCCTGAGCTTACAGTTCTGGTATAGTATGATTCAACACAATTTATTCATGTTGCCATCCTTGGAATGATGTACCGCTTTCAAAAGCCAAGCTACCGCGCGTTTGATCATGAAAGCTAAAGCACAACCCTCGCCGGTCCGATTCTGAGCCTTCACCTGTTGGCTCAAGGTGTACTGAACCGGAAGACCTGGAGGTTCAGGTTACGTAGACCGTATACCCTATACCCCAATCTAAATTGTGGCTTTACTTTGCAAGTTCCGGGTCAGAACCTGGTGCGTAAAAAATTGCTGACTTACAGGACGAAAACTTGCATCCTGCAAGTATAGTCGTATAACTCCAACAAAAACACCTCCAAGTCCAGGATGTGTGCATGGTGCGATTCGGGAGCTTTTGACTGTGACTTGACTTGATATCGCTGGAAAATCTTAGTGACTTGTTCATGCTCGTTTGGGGTCATGATGGGCAAGCCTCGGATTCGACATCTTCGGTTTGCAGACATCTCGCTGCAGTATTTATTGAAAGCGGCTGGACTGCACCACGCACTCCATTGTCAGTCTGATAGTTGGTCGGAACTGGCATCCCGCACAAAGCTTGCGCAGGTGATTGATGCGTGCCTTCGTGCAGGATGTCTGTTAGATGCAACTGCAACACCTTGGGTCCTGTAATGAGTTGTGGCGGTTGCCCTCTCAAGTTTGCGCAGCTCTCCTCGCGTCCACATGCAAAGGTGAGATCTGGTTCTTGCTTTCGAGCCATTGGTCGAATGAAATCAGACCCACCAGACCCGGAGGCAGGCTCGCACCAACGTATTCGTGCAGTTAGGATGTGCCAGATAAAGAGACCCGCAGCACATTTGGGCTGTGAATGTTGAGTGTGGACTTCAGACTCGGGGGCTTCGAAGCCAATAGAGTGCACACGAGACGTCCTGAACGAGTTCGTTTTGTACAATCTTCTTTCAGTTTAATTACGAGGTTGAATTGTTGTCAGGTGTTGTATGAGGAAAGATCGTATAGATAACTCGCCATCTCGTGATATAGCTTGGGAAAGCTCGCGGCCCGAGGAGATGTCCCGAGCTTGTGCAACGTACAGTATGTCGAAAGTCTATACATGTTTATGCTGCGGTGTCGTTGGATCTGGATTTGCGCCCTGAGACCTTGCTTTTTAGGCACATCTCAAACCCATAGCAACCTTTGACTGATGACTAGTCCTGAATCCGCACGCATGGAATGCTGGTCTCAGTCATGAGGAAGTCGAGCTCTCGATATTTCGACAGATCAAGGATTGCTCGCGGGAAGATTTCTGCGGCCCCCATTCTGGACTTTGCAATCCCTGCTTGGTACCACATCCGCTTTATCAGGTGGGCTGTGCACCAAGCAGTGTGGCATGCCAGGCCAGGCTTTGGGTTCGGAAGTGGTCGTGGGGTTCCTTTGAGGATTCTTTCCCGGATTTGAAATGCAAGTTCTCATCACGTGCCTTACCCGTTCAATGCACTGGCTCTACATACTGTTCCGGCTTTATGTGCTGCAGTTTGAAAACCGACGGAGATGCTCCCTCGTAGTTGTGAGCCGACGGAGATGCTCCCTCGTAGTTGTGGAATACTGGTGGCATGCGCAATACTCACAAAAACTACGCCTAATCACACATTGTTCTTCAGGACGCCAAGGACCTGTGCATCTAACCTGACGATCTCAGACTCATGTTCCCTGATGACTCGTCCTGACTTGCAACGATATTGGGGGTTGGTTTGCACTTTTGTTGTTGAGGGAAGGTACCTGCCGCGGCAATAGCCCGTCGCATGGAAGGCTTGTCGTCACAGATTCCTTGGCGTCCCACAGCACAGTTCTCGCGATAAGCTGTTCCACGCCGGAACTCCTGCAGCGGGCTGCCTTTGCCGGTACAAAGTGAATAAGTTACCAAGACACTAAGAGAACTGCAAACAGGCAGAAAGTCCTGAGGCCTCAGAAGCACCACAGAACTGCGAACAGGCAGCACGGTGCCCAGAGTGTTGGAGTTGAGGGAGAGTCCACGACAGCTTGCCCCGATCAGTGTTTGACATGGCTAGTGTTGCCAACTAAGAGCCACCTGCCGAAGGACTTGACAAGTTCATGTTTATTGTCTAGTGTTGTGCAAACCCCAAGAGCTAAGGCCACGCAAGCCGAGGCTAGCAGAGGGCCGAAGGCATCTGTCTACTGGAGTGCAGAAGTTGCTGTGTGCAATCGTTGCTGCTTTGGGTTTGGGCCAGCCTGGATCTGGCGCGGGTGGACGCGTGCGAAATATGCACGCGCACGCTGCCCTCCAGGGCTTGCTTCTGTTGGACCCCAGAAGACCTGCTCGAAACGAACTCTCCAATCCAATGCTCTGACTGTAAATGTCTTCAGTCCGCTGCAACACATGCATGCACGACACGGACAACACAGGACCTGTCAGTCGAACTGGGCCTGGAGTTGGTCACGAATGGAACCGTGGAACAACACAAGGTGCTGAACATGAGAACTGACCACTTTCCCGACTCCAGCCTTCTGGAGAATTCGCAGTGTGCGGGAGCTAGAGGACCGACCAGATCCTCTTGACGACACAACAGAGTGCACGACTCACATTGGGGTCTTCGGACTCAGATTCAGGGCAGGCCTGCAAGAAAATGTTTGGCTTCGACCCGCCGTTCCTTCTCCCCGAACCTACAGAACGTGCCCGGGAGCCTTTTGCCGGATGGCCTGTGCATTCGTATTGCGTACTTCTTCCCAACTGTAGCCTCTTCTCTCTAGGAGTGACACCACCAACATGTATTCCCACCGTCAGCTTCCAGAAATGCCCCGTTGTTCGTGCAGGCGAAAAGAAAAGTGAAGAAAACCAAGGCGTGTCCCTCAGCGTTTCGCCGAGCACATCGGCTCAGTGGATCCACTTCGAGGTGGCAGGATTGATTCTAGATGTCTGCTGAGTCGTATACTGTCTCCCAGCCGTGAGACTGTCATCTGTCTAGCTAGCTGAGTGTACGATTTCGATTCCAAGCACATCTCATGTGAACGCCTTAGAGCTCAACTTGCGGTGTTGACTCGCACGGCTCGAAAACATGCATGCTTAGCGTACTGCATGCACATAGGAGCAACTAAAGTCCAATTTATGACTGCGCAAAAAATCCGGTGCCTCCTGAACCACAGTTTGGACAAAACATTACAAGACTCCGTTGCTGTGGGCCAAGAGCCTTGGATAACTTGTGCAGGCTACGCTTTCGAAACTTGCTGGAACAAGCAGGCTTCAAAGGTCGTGCTTTGGGGCTCTCGTCGGTGTGGGTCGTATGCCCATGCCTGTTGCCGTATCGATCACGAGGGAGGGGACGCACATGTAGAGCGCGACAGCTGGTCCATGCTTCATTCGTTTCCAGAATCTAATGCACAGAAGCTGGCAGCAAAACAAGTCGCAAACACGGCAACAATGTTTGAATATCAAAGCAACTCACGAATTAAGAACAAACTTGGTTAGATGTCTTCATGTTGCGGAGCACGACTGTCAAACATCACGTTTGCATGCCAGCGGCATGCAAACAAGATGTTGACAGCACGGCTCATGTTGCAGTATGGCTTTACCTCTGCATGGCACCTTTAGTTGCCTGTAAGTATGTGTAGGCCCTGCATATTCAGTGAGCACCGAGCCCCTGGTCAGTTTCGTGAGACGCAGAAGGAGCTGAAGGTGGGACCGTCATTCGGAGTCCGAGTTTCCAGCAGGACGCAAGCAATAGTGAGATGCGCAGACTTGGACGCGATTCTGTCCGCTTTCACAGTCTGACCAGGAAGGCAGCGCGAAAGAAAAGCACGACAAGTCCATTGAAGAGACCGTGTCTCCGCGGAATTGGGTGATGTGCAGCTGAAGAATACATTGGGCTGAGCAGCTGGCTCATCTAGGAGACAGGTTGGGCATTGACAGTGAATTAGGTGCAAACGTGCAACATGATCACGACCTTGGGGCGATTGCTGTTGCAATACTGCGTACTGTCCTACGCAGTTCTCATGAGTTTTCGAAGCTGCTGTGGAGATGGATGCATTGCTGGGAACGCGCGAAGCATTTAGTGGTAAGGAAGTGTCGCTGCGCCATGGCAAGTTCATCTCCGAATCACGCGCCTCAGCTGAAACTTCAATGGACCATGAACAGTTTCAAAAAAGCAAGGGGAAGCTCAACGCGACCACGCAGCACTCGTCCCACGTTTCTGAAGCTCTAGTAGAAATGGCATCACATACCGGAGTGGGCCTCTGCCG